ACCGATAAACTAAATCAGGATCAGAGAGAGGATGGATAGATTTGATAGAACTGGGCCAATATTTTAATCAGGACGTCATTCAAGAATCATTAACTACAACAAGAAGAGTCTTCTAAATTTAAGGTTTCGAATCCTCCGTTGTACGTGACAAGGAATAGGGTCGTCTGTCCAACTTCGTGGGTTTTCTCCAGGTCCACCGGTTTCCTCCCACTGCTTAAAGACCCCTACGCGCCAGCCAATTATAGATATAAAAATGAACCATGTGTTAGTCCCGAACTGACCTAGTTTGTATCGAGTGGACGTTAAACTCCATTTCTCTCTCCCTCTCTTTGTAAATTTAAATAGAAGACATCGGAAAATCAGCGTAGTGTAAGCAACATGTTCTTGAATGGCCAACAGATTGTCACCAATGGGAAATCCTCAGGCCATAAATTGATAAGGTGGGTGCTAGATTGTCAGTCAGGAACGTTCCGAATTAACGGAATTGCAATTGAGTGACGCAGAATTCAGTCCTGTCACAGTTCTGTCAGTCTCTAACGAATATGTTTCAGCTATCATGGTTGGTTGAGATATTTACCCATGCAGTTGGCACATGTGTTCTAGCCCCAAATTCCCATTTTCACTCGATTGTCACTATTTTTGGGTTTGACAGAATTCAATTCCGGAACGATCAATCAAGCATCCCCAATATGTATGTTTAATTCGTTAATCCGCAAGTGTTATTTATTTCTTTAGCAATAGTTGGAAAACAGAGAACCCAGGGAAAACCCAGGGAAAACCCAGGGTATAGGGAAAATCATACACATGATAGACCTTTGAGGCTTTGACGGTTCACCAAAGTAACAGTTTCAACATTATAAATTTTTAAATTCATAATATTGAAACTGTTACTTTCTAAAACTTGCAAATTTCAGTTTTACAAGAAACCCTCATTCGAATGAAAGTGAAATATTAAATTAAAAAAACATTATGCAAGAATTAAATCTGCCTATTGCAGGACTTTCTTTAGGCCTGAAATGTTATATAAACTATCAATTTGACATTGATTAAAAAAACAAGACCATAATCGGATACACAAGATTTTAACTAGATTAGAACGGTTTAATTTAATTTAAATATGGGAAAGCTAAGCTAAGTCTCGAATATACCAGTGTCCTGGTTACCACAATGCACACATCTTGTCAAAACTACAAACAGTGATAATTTGGCTCAGAATGAAGTAATTTGTATGAAATTTTCAATATCTTCATTTATAATATCTATTTCTAAGCTATTATAGCTCTTCATCTAATACAACTCATGAATATTCTTTAAACTAAACAGTAAAAAAACATAGACACAGGTGCTAAATATAAGGTTTAGTGTAGCTTTAAAATTCCCTATCATAGATACTTCTCTATAAACTTTCTTGTCTATCATTTACTTCAAGAAACTCACACCTAAATGTTTACATATCTTGTTTACATGAGCCAGAGGTGTTAGTCAATATAACCATGTATTGTCATATGGCATGGTGCCCTTCCATAAAAATACATTCTTTTCTAAGATGAGCAATTCAACTTTCATCTTATAAGCTAAAATGATGTACTTGGCTGATAGACTTCTCTCTCTTGGTTTATTCTATATTTAGCTGTATTACTACTATTGGCACTGACGGCTGTTCTCTTAGTGTTAGCCACATCTGGAGGGATGATATGAGTTATCCAATTCATGACGTCAAGAATATGACGTAAACTAAAGAATGGTGTTTACTACGGAATAAATTTTAGTTGTAGACTTGCCATATATGGCGTCTCTGCTTTCTCACCAATTATTTTCAGGTGGTGAGTGATGCATTTAATAAACCGAGATAAATACATGTACTTGTTTAGATAGAATACAAGAGAATACACCTGGCAAAACCTTGTAAGGCAGGTATGGTATAAGCAAGCATTTTTAGGATCGAGCACACTTGATACATTATGTATTTAATTATAGTTTAACCTATGCGGGGGTGTTTAAAGTGATTATGTACACAGGTATTTTAACCATTGAGTTGAAACAGAATGCATAAAATAACAAGAATAGAAAATAAATGACTAATTTCAAGTTTAATTTTACATATCAAATGTAAAATTCCTGCATTTACATAAGATTAATTTCACTAAGTCAATTAAAAAATTAACAAATTAAATCATTTAAAATACTCCTCCCTCACAACCTGAATTGAAACAAAGATAACTTGTGCTTTGAGCATGCTCATGCATAGATATTGCCCAATATAAATAGACTATTGTTATTATTAATCGCAATCCCAAGCCCTTTCACATGTTTTGGAAGGTGCAGGGATATGTGATCCGGAGATGCCAAAAAAGATGTCAAATTTTTTCTCTGGTACAATTATTCAAATTAGAAATTTCTAATCTGCAAAATGCACAAACACTATAATAGGTTATTGTGTGTGAACAGATTCGTAAATATATCTTTATTGGTTACTGAGAAATGCCCAGGAAACATAACTGGGGCGAAAGAGACAGAGTGCATTTCAATAATCCTCTTCTAAACTTCCCAACACATCAGAGAGAGTGAGAGAAAAATGGGGTTTAACATCCACTCAACACAAACCAGGTCATTTCGGGACTCAATGACAGACCTTATGATGCAATGCGCACATGTTAACCATTCGGCCATCCACCCACCCCCCACCCTAATGCATCATATCAACCCAATTTAGAACTTTATTTTAAACCAATCAAAGCATTTCTGTTTCTTGGACAGTGAGTTGAATATTTCAACAGCAAGTTATTTCCTTGTCATCAGATGTGATTTTATATTGGGGTGTTGTTGGTTTTTTTGGAGGGTGAGGGGGAATGGGGGGGGGGGGTAAGAAAATGATCATTATTGTCATTAATGATAGGTGATTGTGGATGACATGTAGCAGTATTAAATCTGTTTACTTTTTTTTGTCAATGACATTTCAGTTTTTCGCTACAATCAATTTTCTAATATCTGAAACCGAATCAAGGCACTTTTTTTTTTCGACTGGCACTTTTTTTTTTTATTTGCTTGATAAAGACGAGAGTATCCTCGCGAAATGTCGCTTAGTATTAAACTCAGTAATTGTGTATCCATAAAATTGTACCTTGTGTTAGAATTTAATGCATTTCAGCTAAAACTTATTAACACAAGCAGTGATTTTCAATCTTGGAGACCTTGACCTTTCTCTGATGTAAAATACAGACAGGAGTAAATGGACTTGTTCTTGTTTTGATAAACAGAAATTCTACAAATGCCTTAAGACTATGATTAGTACAACCTTCGGAAGGAGACGCATTTAGCTTAAAGGAAAAGGTTTTATGACCGACTGTTAGTCTTTCATATTAATTCATCGTCAAGTAGACAGTTTATTTACTTGTGGATTAATTCAGTGAAGTACAGAACCTTAATCCATAAATGACTACTGTTCCATTAAGGCTTTCTATTTCTTACCACTTATGACAAGTGTTCTTCGTATTGTGAAAAGAACGTAGTATTTACATGGTAGACTTCAATGTGATATATACTGTATAGGTAGAGTACTAATATTGTTCACACCTGTCTCAGGTAAATCATAAAGTAATGGTCATTTTTACTTATTAGTCATTGAATGTGATGTTCTATAAACTTAACCTTTCTATTCAAATAATATTTCCTGGGAAAAAACACACATGAATAAATAAATAGGGTTATTTTCTCCTGTCATCCAGTTTCATATAGCTGATTATTTCCAAGAGACATTGGCTGAAAAGAGGTGAGAGCGCGAGAGAAATGGGGTTTAACATCCACTTGACACAAACTAGGACATTACTCATTTCAGGACTAACACACAGTTCAATTTTATTTCAATAATTTGCTTGCGCGTAGGGGTCTTTAGCAGTGTGAGGAAACCGGAGGACCCAGAGAAAACCCACAATGTTGGACAGGCGACCCTATTCCTTGTCCCGAACAACCGGGGAATCGAAACCCCCGCCAATTGACTCAATGACAGACCTTATGATACAGCGCGCACATGCTAACCATTTGGTCATCCAACTCCCCCCCCCCCCTGAAAAGAGGTGCCACATTGGCCTCAGTACAAAGCTCTTGACAATGAATGTCATTTTTTTTTACAACTGTAAATCTAAAGATTTCCTCTATTTTCTTTATAGTATTGATAATCTTTCATATATTATCAATGCTTCTGATGGTGTGATCCAGTTCCTGAGTTTTTATAGTAAAATTTATATATTTGGTTCTAAAATAAAGCCCAATCACCTGTCATTATATTCTAGGTATTTATATTGATTCAACATGTTGTAACCGTTTTTGGGTTGTTTTTTTTTGTTTGCTCAATGTATCAAATTTATATTAAGGGGTGGTGGATAGTATGTTAGTATGTTAGTCCCGAAGTTTGTGTCGAATGGACGTTAAACCCCATTTCTCTTTCTCCATATTGATTCAACATGTAACCGTTTCTTGTTTTGGGGGGCTTTTTTTGTTTGCTCAATGTATGAAATTGTTATTGTTTAAGGGGAGTTGGATGGTCGAATGGTTAGCGTGTGCGGTATGTTAGTCCCGAAATGACTTAGTTTGTGTCGAGTGGATGTTAAACACCATTTCTCTCTATCTCTGTATAGATTCAAAATGAGACGTTTCTTGTTTTTTGGGGGGTTTATTATTGTTTAAACTGAATAAACTGATTTAAATAGGCTTCTATTTATTGCATAATGAGAAACTTGAGATATTTCTGCATACACTGGGGCGTCAATGTGAGGTGGGTGTCAGTATAATACTAATACAGGTGACAACAAAAGGCTCCCAGCAGCATCCTAGCGACGGCTTTCAATACATGGGCATAGGTGCAAGACTGCAGATCTCAACATCAGTGTTACAGTGAACTCCTAGTTTGTAAGTTTCTGTACAATTGAGATGTTGTAATTTAGGTTAGATAGTTTAGGAATTGTACCTGAAATATTAATAAATTGCACAAAAAAATGACTTACCTCAGTTAAAGCATGTAGTTGGCCTTCATGAACACACACACCCATAAATCTAGAAAAATAATGAAAAAAAAACCCAAATAAGATCCATATTTATTACAAATTACTGTTCATCAAATTACATATACTAATAATGAGAAAAATCTTGTTCAGATATTTTTGTCGATTGAGATATGAACCAGTGCTGATTGCTGAAAGAAGAAAGTAACACATGAAAGTGTTAAATTTGGTCAACATTAGAAGGTCAGAAGATTAGTTAGTCTGATGGACTGCTACAAGGCTTGAACACATTCTCTCAAAAACATAGAATCAAGAAAGCTATTAAGTTTGTGAAACAAGCCCCAAGCATAACAAATCCTGACAAGGCCATTGCATCAGGAGAATTATTACCCTTTGAGAAGGCCTTACTTTGACCAATATTCACCTCCTTAGAAAATAAACCTGATTCCATGGAAACAATAATTCAATGAGAGACAGAAAACCAGTAATTCAAAAGACGAAACCTTTTTGATTTGGGAAAATAAAAGTGTTGGTTTAATTTATATTTTATATACTTTGATTTATTTAATTGTGATGTCGTTATCGCATATCTGAGAGAGAGAGAGAGAGAAACGGGAGTTATCATTCACTCGACACAAACTAGGTTATTCTGGGACTAACATATGGTTCAATTTTTATTTCAATAATTCCGTTGTGCATAGGGGTCTTTAGCAGTGGAAGGAAACCAGAGGACCTGGAGAAAACCTACGTACAAGCAGGGTATCGAAACCACGCCACTTGACTCTATGACAGACCATTTTTTTGTCAAAAAAATTATGACAATGTTTTTGACCATTCAGAGAGAGAGAAATAGGGTTTAACGTCCACTTGACACAAACTAGATCATTTCGGGACTAACACATGGTATCATTCAAGTCATTGTTTACTCCTTGCAGTTATTAAGACTGTTCTGTACTGATCCTGTTGATTTTACAATTAGACAACTAAATAGTTGGTATTATTTCTACAGGCAACCTGCCCAATGTATAGAAGGGTACATATGATAATACTATTGATATTTCACATTTATTATAACAATAAATATATCATAGCTAGAGACTCATGTAAACTAGGTACCATACTGTTATAGCTTAGAACAGTAGGACGTTAAACGTTAAACGAGAGATCAGAGATTGTTTGAAATTTGGAATTTAGCAATGGAAATAATTGGTTGAAGAACATTTGTTATGGTTTCAATTAATGAGAGAGAGAGAGAGAGAGAGAGAGAGAGAGAGAGGGGGGTATGGTTTAACATCCACACAACACTAACACAAGGGAGCCATGGTTGCTTACTAACTAGAAGTCCCTGACTTTGATATCCCTGTGTTGACAGAGAAATTTTCCCAGGATTAATCTGCATGATTTCCCCTCGTCATTGATGCAGGACGGTTCAGTTTAAATGGCCAAGGTCCTGTGTGCAGGTTTTAATTCTATTTCATTAGCCCAGTTGGTGCAGAAAAGTAGGATATCAAATGCCATTTCATTTCATTTATGCCTAACACATAGTATATATGCTTGCATGTGGGAGGGATACAGGAGTACCTTGACGGATATCCATGAGGTTGGGCAGGTAGTTTTGGTCACATACAATCATGGAATTAAAGCCAGGAATAGGGTCGCCTGCCTAACCTCATGGTTTTCTCTGGGTCCTAGGGTTTCTTCCCGGTGATAAACCCCATCTCTCTCTCTCTCTCTCTCTCTCTCTCTCTCTCTTATGAATTGTATAGACAACAGACCATTTGATCAATATAGCACCCATCATACAGAATCATTAATACCGTTAACTCTCAGAGGAGCCATTTATTATGATACAAATATAGTGGTGAGGTAGATTAACAGACGGACGATGGTTGCTTTAATGAAGTATCCCGGTCGGAGTGGAGAGTTTACTGATCAATGATTTAATACAGATTCATGTTGTCTTCGATTAAAAGACAAGCTGATAGGCTATCACGACAAACAACACTTAGAACATGGCCTTTTGTCAGCCTTCCATCTCTCATTCCCATGTTAAAATCTTTACAAGGGACATTAAAGCCATTGAAGCACTATTGAGAGTTAAAACACATCTTCCTGCAACAGGGTGCTAACTTCTTGTTCATTTGAAGTTATTGTCATGTTAACTGGCTCCTTCAACAAACCGATAGGTTAAAAATAGCTCATCAAAAGATTTGTGTTTGGAACATTTTCTATATGGATTTACAATAATCTTATTAATGCTTGCACACGTTCAAGATATATGCACAATGAACATGCAATATATATACATGCTAAAAAGCTTCTGGAGTATTTGATTTTCCCTGAAGAAACCTGTAACGTCGACCCTTAAAAGTTGTACTGAATGGTACGCAGACAATACACACTCCTCCTCGCATAAATGGTAATTTTGGCAATAAAATTTGTAGAAATCCCATGATAACAACTGTCTAGTTCAGATGCTGTATATATTTCATAAACATTTATTGCCAAACAAAGGATGCAGATATTTACAACAAATAGAACGCTTCTTGAGTGACATCAAAAATCATTATTGCAAATATTTTGTGTTTTTGTCCGATCAGACATTGTTTCATTTAGTTTTGGCTGAAAAAATATTATATATTCTACTGTTATTGAAAATTTATGTACTTGTTTTTTAGTAGTTTTAATTTATCTATGAATTTAACATTTATATTTTAACCCTTTATCACTGGCTACATGTAAATATTGGCACCACTAGTTCCCTTGAAGAAAATTAGAGAAAATTTTGATTATACTAAGTTCCCACTATCATGAGATGCATTACGATAGAATTGTTCCTATTGAGTCCACGATCTGGTACATGCAGATACGTTTGGATATGTTTCGATACGATCAACAAGATTGCTGCAACTGACCTCAATATATGACAGGATCACCACGATAACTACACAATTAAAACCACCGTTTCAATCGTAGCACAAATCGTGACAGTGAGAACCTAGCATTAGTTTATACTGGTATCCCTGGACAGCACGAAGCTACTGTTCCTTAGACCATCTCACACCTCCCAATACAAAACTACTGGTATATACTGTAGGACAATATACTATACACTGTACATCTATGTGACTATGGCATTTAGGGGTAGTCTGAGTACAGGAATCTGACCTTCTATCCGTATATATATGCATACACCATGTCGAACCAGACAATATATTTTTTATTATATATTGTCTGGTTGGACATGGTGTATGCATATATATATATATGGATAGAAGGTCAGACTTCTGTGATCTGAGGAACCCTAGTTTCGGGCAGTTCAACTGCAAAAGGGTTAATATAATAAATGACATTTTCACACCGATTAGATTGTGTTATTTTTTTTAGTAGTTCTTGGACATAAAAGGAATTGATATCCATAAAATAGGATTCTTCATCTCTCTAATGAATACACGATAAATGTAGTCTGTAGACTTGTAGACTGTTCACAAGAAATTTTAGCGAGGGACAGCAGGGCGATGAAACTACATGACCACATTTTCATGTGGGCTTACAAAAAGGTAATTTGCTTGCGCGTAGGTGTCTTTAGCAGTGGGAGGAAACCAGAGGACTCAGAGAAAACCCACAGGGTTGGACCTGCGACCCTACTCCTTGTCACGTACAACCGGGCAATCAAAACCACACCAGTTGACTCAATGACAGACCTTACTATACAACCATTCGGCCATCCAACCCCCGCAATAAAAAGGTAGAAGAACGCCTGCTAATTTGTGATGTTTAGTAAAATATTTGTTGGCCGTGTGAACTTGTGAACCTTTAACTAATCATTAAAAGGAAATAATAAAAAGGTGTGAGTTGAAGATTTATCTAAATGTAATATTGATGTGTTAATTAGTACCTGTATGTATTATTTATATGTGTATACTATAGGATAAGTATACATGGTAAGTATTAAACTCAATAATCAATGCTTGTAATGGAATGTACATTAATGGTAAGTATAAATTAATGCACATAGTGATTCAGCAGTACCAAGTATTGTACAACTAACTATTAATGATTTAGCAGTAAAGACCACAAAACAGCCGATTGCCATGTGGAGTTTTATGACAATTTCTGACATATAAGGCCATAGTTATTTCATTACCTAGTTTACAGACTTTTCTAAAAAAAACAGGGTTGGGGGGGGGGGTAGGAAAATAAAAATAAAATAATTGGATAATTATAATTTCTGTCAATCTGGTTTACAGATTTTTCACCATAAAAATCTAGGGTTGGGGGCAGGGATGCTATTTCAAAATTTTGCTCATGTTGGACATTTTTAGTTAGGGTTAATAGAGGCCCAAATTTGGTCACCAGAAGTCGTTTAGCAGCTTCAGGGAAACAGCGTCAATAAGCTTCCTTTCCCTTTAATAGACTTCAACTACAAATATCTGCGGTTCCATAAACCAGGTAATTAAATAACTTATGACCTAACATGTCCTCAAATTGATTATTTAACATTTAACTGAGAATACGAAATAAAACCAAAATAATCTTGAATTCAATCAGATCAAAACAAGAAAAATCCCTAACACATGATGGCACTGACTTGTTGATATTGTCTGAAGAGGATGATGAATGGTGCTATTTTTGTAAATATTGAACCATTTTGGTCTGATATTTCTTATACAGATTCAACTTCACAATATTGTAGATTACATGAGATTCATAATCTCTCAAATTATGACCTGTCGTTTTTATATTCAGGTACTGATAAGGATCGAGGACTGTCTAGTTGTTCAGATGAGACAAAACACTGAGGTCCCATGTACACATTGGCGTGCACGTAAAAGTTGGAATTCGATATAAGAGTAGGCCGTCGCAAAATTTTTCTCATAGCACACTGTATGGCGTATATGCTCATCTTCATTAACCCAGTTGGAGCAAAACAGTAGGACGTTAAATTTCATTTCCTTTCATTCTTATATTCAGTTGTATATTTGTAATATATTCCCGTCTTCCTTCGGCCAGTCAGAACAGAACAGTAGAATATTAAACCCCATTTCATTTTTTGTAATATGAAACTCCTGACATTTCTGACATTCATGAACTGACCATCCACATAATAATGGATCATACACAAGAAACTTTGTCATATATATCAATTCAACTTCCAGCTATTTTTATACTAAAAACAAAATTTGTTGACATTTCCAAACCACTACAGCATATCCCTCTCAAATACAAGTTCTGGGGAAAATAGAGATCTGTGTTTCAGAAAGACTAATAATAACCTCATCTTGTAGAGAACACCTAAAGGTATATAATTGAAGGAGAACAATACTCAGGAAAACATAATGAACTAGAACACTAAAATTCTCAAGTTATACATATATTTTCAAATTTATTTTTTTATCTCTTTATCCTCCTTGACTTGACAAAAATATGTTAGTTTAATAAAGAAATGATGAAGAAAGCATGTCGATTATAGGAAAGGGTAATATTTATTGCTGATAATAACATCTTTTACTGCGGGCAATCTTCCAGCCGATACCAACCTTGAAACATTCATAAACGTGTTATGTTATTACTGTACATACTAGATACTGTAATTAGCACATATAGTGGGGGGCTATCATCATTGCCATATCCCTAAAATTGTCTCATGGGCATATCAATTCTAAAACATAATTGGCATAATCAGAGATGCCAGTCAATTACAAAATGTACGTCAGGGTATCGTCGTCATTGCCATCCTTAAAATTGTCTGTGATAGGAACATAAAAAAAAAATAAAACTTAAATTTGCCATCAGAGATGCCATCAATTACCAATACTAAATGTAGACAGGAGCCTGTGGTTTTAACATTGTTTGTGATGTCTGTATAAATTGTAAAACTAAATTTTCATAAGTCAGAGATGCCAGTCAATTCAATCTATATTTTATCATGGGTTTTCTTCTACAAATAAGTTTAGTTTAAAAAGACAGAAAAAAGCAACAAAATGACAAATTCACACATACAGTAATTGTTTTTAACATGGAATAAATGAGAGAACTAGAAAGGAAAGAGTAGACTACATGTTTCGTCAACTCCGATATTTAATTAAGTCAACAAAAGGTCTTTATTCCACCTGAAATTAGTTCTATTGGTTATATCGTATCGGGGAGAAGCAGTGGCTCTATCAGTAAGGTGCTGGCTCACTAACCGGGAGGTCCCGGGTTCAATCCCAGTGTTGACTATGAAAGTTCTTCACGACTTTCTGCCATGGTTCCTCCTTCTGAGCGATAGTGGAAGGAGGCCTTGACAAGGACAGTGCCTAGTTGTTCGAATGGGACACAAATACGAGGCCCTGTGTACACATTGGCATTCATGTAAAAGAACACATGGCAGTTGAAATTGGAAATAAGAATAGGTCAGAGTGCCACTGTGTGGGCAAAATATCCCCCATAGCACACTGTATGGCATATGTCCATAATCTTCAATATTATTTCATTTCGTACTATACTGGATCATTTCCCTTGAGCAAATATATTGCATGATCTAAAATCCAATATGTCTAAATAATTGTATTAAATTTTTTTTCAATTCTTCTCTGTACAGGTCGAGTTTTAAACAGAATGTGGAAGACTGAAATAAATTTATTCTGAGTAACGTAAGTCAACAAATTAATTAAAGAAAACTAAATTTAGCCGAGAGGTCGATTTCAACATGTGCATGTCAATCATGTATTCAACTATTAAAGTTAATCCAATCAAAAGCCAAATAGAAATTGTACTGGAATGAATCACAGATTCTACATGAAAAATATTTATAGTCATGTGCACTCCCAACTTTTATCTTCAAATCACATTAGTCTAACAATCTATCTGATTAAAACTCAGATCCTTTTTCGTTTGGTTTTTTATAGTTCAAAATTTCATTTTACTTGTCTTTACGACACTAGGATATGGAAGAGTTGTTACATAACCTGCATTCTGCATGATGTGAGGGATTAGCCAATGAAACGGTCTGTTACAGCGAGTTTTCGACGTGAGGTATACAAAACTGTGGGAAAACCCACTAGAAACATCAACGCTGATTGGTTAATCAAATGTCTGACATCATAGGGTCAGAAGCCACTGGCATTACATCTGATGCGACTTTCCACTACAACCGGTCAGATCTTCACGTAGTAGAGGCAATCGAAAGTACAAAAAAAACGAAACGAAATATAGATCTGTATTTTAATCAGGTTGTCTAAGGACAAGCTTTGTACGATTTGATTTTTGTGAATACAAGAATTTGATAAACAATGGATGAATATTTTTTGCTAAGTGTGGTGAATTTGCTGTTATGTACTTATTGAGGAAAAAATAAGTGAAATAGCATTGTTCTGTGCTATTATTATTATTTGAACTGATTACCATTTTTCTTGGAAACTACAATATTGTAAAAGTTGTATCTGTCCAAAAATGGTTCAGTTCTGTTCAATATTTACAATAATTAACAGGTCAGACATTCATATACATGTACTGATGTAGGTGTTGGTTTCAAATAAAAGGTAGTAAGTACAGGAGAACTGAATTGAACAAATAAAAACCACAAAACAAACCAGTTGATAAAACACACAAACTACATGGGTATTGCAAGCAAAAAAACAATTCACAAACGTAAATATTCAATCAAGTGAATTGATCTGGCCCCAAGATCACAACACATTCTCAGACTTCAGTTAAGAATTTACTCAAAATTGTTTCACCTTATTTTAACTAAAATATGACCCCTTATAAAACTTTTATTGTTTTAATGTATCAAATACATCAATAAGAAACTATGTGCAAATTTTTGTGTTTCTGGATCAAAGATATTTGTCATAAACAGTGATTGGAAGTTGAGTAAATTCTTAACTTAAGTCTGAGAATGCTTTGTGAACTCGGGGGCCTGGGCGACAGCCGTAAGTGTCTACAGCATTGAACAGTCCAGGGTCTAGGTACGTTATCATACTGGCTTTACTCAAAATAGAAAAAAACACCTTACAACAAAACACAGAAAAACTTAGAAATGAATTACAAGAAAACAACCTCACAATAAAACAAATGAATTACAAGAAAGACACAACAGGGTTAATGTACATGGGGTGTAATATAAAGGCTATCTGTTTAATTGTGCATGTAACATGATGCATACAATAATTATATAATTAACAAACATAATTAGAAAAGCAGGAGGTTGTGACTTTTATTTATAAATGGGTAAACAAGTTGATTATATAGGTCAACTACAGAAAGCAAGATCGAGATTGTTTACAATTTACATAGATATAGTCTGGTTGCTGCACTATGATTGAATATGATGGAGATAATGTGCATGATATAATGTGCATGATAATGATAATATACATAATACATGTTTGCATTATTCTTATATACTAATTTAGTATTCCATATTCCACTATTCATAAAAAAAACCATATAACATTTTATAAACTAGGAGAAGTAAATATTTGTAATATTGTTATATACACTATTCATAAAAAAAACCATATAACATTTTATACTAGAAGGAAGTAAATAATAAAATATTAAACTTTCAACATTCCAGTTGAAATTTTTACACAACCATCACAACCTCAACACAGAAAAGTCAGCTTTGCTTTCAACATGTCATTTATTCATGGGGGTGGGGTGGGGTGGGGTTGCTAACAAAAGCCATCATATCTAAAATTGTATACTAATTGCCTGTTAAAGACCAGAGAAGCCTTGTCAAAAGGTTGTTCAGTAATAATTGTGTTTTAGATCATAGGGTCTGCCATTGTTATAAGAAATGCCAACTTACTTTAATATATTAGGATGAGAGAGTCTATTCATTAATTGAACTTCTCGTAACATATTAGGTCTGTTACTGGTTAACGTATTCATCTTTAAAACCATAACTTGATCTGTTGTTCGATGTGTAACCTGTAATATAAAATAACAACATAGCTATGATATAACATAGTTATTGTAATCATTGTAATAACCATCTGGGCATAAACTTTTATCTCCTTATTCCCCATCAGGCCACCTCTAACCTCCTTCATCTTAAAATGAGAGAGAGAGAGAAATGGGGTTTAATGTCAACTTGACACATACTAGGTCATTACGGAACTAATACATGGTTCAATTTTATTTCAATAATTCGCTTGGGAGTAGGGGTTTTTAGCAGTGGGAGGAAACCGGTGGACCCGGAGAAAACCCACGAGGTTGGACAGACGACCCTACTCCTTGTCACGTTCATCTTAAAGGAGCTAACCCTCTAACTAAATATTATCCAAAATATTCAAAATTAAAATAACAAAATGGAATTCAATATTGGTCCATTTCAATCAATATTGATGTTGTTATCTTACTGTGAAAATATGGGATCTAATATTGGACATTGAAGACACAATGAACGTTTTAAAATCAGTACACAAGATTGTGTATTCTATGGTTTTGGGTGTCATTTGTAATGAACAAAGAAAAACACATCCTACAAGACAATGCGGAAGAAATGAGTAACGGACGATTCACAAACAACAAAACAATAACAAAAAAATATGTGTAGACTGGACTAAACAGGCACCGTTCAATTGGGACTGTTGCATATTTACCAAACATTTCGACTGTTCCGTATTTACCAAACAGAATTGATTAGAAATTACAATAAAAAATTTCAAAACTGAATAAAAATCAATTTATATACATGTACATTAATATGTGTTTTTTAGATCAATTTTCGTCTATTTTAAGTTTCCAAGGAATAAGCTGAACTCGCTCCACCATGTTATTGTAATCATCAAAGTACAAAATATTTGAAAATTGCATGTTAACATACTTCTAAATACTTGTATAGTAAACATGGTATTATGAGACCCTACCTGACATTTTGTGATAATCAATACAATGGAATCATTACCTATATCATTAGAGATAAAATCAATGTCAGACAGTAAACTCAACCTACACATTCTCAAATATCTTCTTATAAAATAGATTTTAAATTGGTGAAGAGGATTACATGTTAAAATAACCATGCATCATTTGCATTTATACGCTTAATTATCAAATTTTGAGAGGTACATTATCAAGAATATGTTAGTGGACACGTTGGTCAGTAATAAGCAGTAACGATATTCCATAGAACTATGTCCCGTCTTTTCTATAATGAATTTGATTAATGAAATTTAATGAGAAACTTGCACACAAAAGTCAATGAATGAATAATCGTTAACCATGCATCATTTGCCTTTTTTCGCTAAAATATCAAATTTCTCCCGGCTTAATCAAGATTAATATGTACTCAGATTGATTATTTGACATTCAATTGCGAAAACAAAATCAAAATATCTACGGTAGATAAACTCCTTGCTTGGGTTCAATTGCATTTAAAAGAGAGAGAGAGAGAGGGTTTAACGTCCACTCGACAAAAACTAGGTCATTTTGGGACTAACACATTGTTCAATTTTATATCAATAATACTTCGCTTGCGTGTAGGGGTCTTTAGCAGTGGGAGGAAACCGAATGACCTGGAGAAAACTCACGAGGTTGGACAGGCGACCCTACTCATTGTCGCGTACAACTGGGGAATCAAAACCACGCCAGTTAACTCAATGACAAGACTTAATGATACAGCGCTTACGTGCTAACCATTCAGCCATCCAACCCCCCGAACCATTTTTGAACTCATATTCCTATTAGACACCCATCTTTCACAATTTTGTAGTTTGTAAGGAACATCTGTTGAGCTAAAATTACGCAATTAGACTCTGAGTAACTTCCGGTGGCAGTTTTTGATTATAATCTTAAATGTCAGCTAGTAAAAATTCAAGCAATAGGGTCCTTGAAATGTTAGTATTTTAAAAATAAAAGATACATTTTTCACTTGCTAAAGACCAAAAACCAAAAGTATTACAGGCAGGGCCTCACCCGAATTCTTAACTATGGACTGTAGGCAACATTCCGTCAGTATTTTACTATTTTAAAAACAAAAGTTAATTTTTCATTTCATTTTGACAAGTAGTCTATTGTGAAAATTGTGACAAAATTGTCTAAACAAAACAGCATAACATGTCCTCAGGCTGAGAAACTAATTTAATGATGTTTTTCTCATGAGTTTAAATGAGCTTGAAGTTTGTTTTTTCAATATCAACAACACATATTTATGTTAAATACACAGGACACGATTATTGTTTCTTACTGGGTGAAATTTCTACTAGGATTTTCTAGCCTTTATTACAAAATTTCCCAATCAAAAGAAGAATAAGCGTAATGGAGGTCATTGGTGGAAGCTAAAAAATCATACAACGAACAAACTTTCTTTCTTTTTTATAGAATTAAAATTTACAAAAAAATTTTGTCAAGAAGTGGGTGAGGTACTGTTCTGCTACGACTGCGCTAATGAAGACGGGCATATGCCATACAGTGTGCTATGAGGGAAATTTTGCTCGGGTAGCAGCACTATGGCCTACTCTTATATCGAATTCCAACTGCCAAGGGATCTTTTACATGCACCTCGGGTTCTGGATTTGATCCCAGCATTAGCGGAGAAAGTTCTCCAGAATTTTCCTGCATGGTCATTAAGATGGGAGAAAAAAAAAAAGACCTGTGTACACATTGGTATTCAAATAAAGAGTATGCCACAGTGTGGCTGTGCTGGCAACATTTCCTTCTAACGTGTATGCCCGTCTTGATTAGCCCGGTTTGTCCAGAAAAGTAGGGCGTTAAAACTCATTTCGTTTGTACAAGAAATAATTTACAAAGAGAAGTCATTTATCTTGGCAGTTGAGTAAGTCTCGGGTTGTTTTTAGAACTAATTCCATCCTCTTGCCACAGATTTCTTGCCATGATTCCATATCATCTTACTTGTTTATCTTAAACATTTCGTGACAAAATATGCTATTTGATAATAAACCTCTAATAAAATAAAGTTTCGAAATAAAAGTTCAGTTTCACCGACTTCTAATTTTTCAATGTCAGTGTCAGGTCAAGTAGATGTTGCATCCTACAATATAATTAAATATAGTCAGCTAATCTAATTCTATAGATATTCAGTATCACATGATAAATGCCAGAAGGTGTTTAATGCTTTAAAGGTGTATTATGTAAGATTTAGATAAAGTGCTGGCCGTACTTGCTATAAAAATTCAAAAATAGGTAACACAAAATGAATATATTGAAAATTTCAGTCAAGTTACTTTATTCTGAGCTTAGGTATGGGTGTTTGAAGTGTTGACAAAATGTAGCCAAAATATACGGTATTTGACCATCGATGGTCTATTTTATTGTTAAACTCTTAAATGGCCGCAGTATTCTAATCTACTTAAAATCAGAGCCATCCGATGGCTCAGAGAGTTGATTATGAGCTCGTCATGTAAACAAATGTTTAAATAATAATAATAATGTATGTTTAAGAACTGGAGCCTATATATACGGTATTTGATTATCGATGGTTTACTTTATTGTTAAACTCTTAAATGGCTGTAGTGGTCTAATCTACTTAAAATCAGAGCCATCCGATGGCTCAGTGAGTTGATTATGGGCTTGTCATCTAAATAAATGTTTAAATAATAATAATAATGCATGTTTAAGAACAGGATGAAATCCGGTCTGGAAATAACAATTTTAGTTGAAGCTGTACCTGAGACTCTTTAACTTTGTACCTGATATATACCATAGTAAAACTAGCAACAACATCAACAAAGAAACAAACAAATCTCTGCTAGACAAAATGAAAGCCACCAAAAGAATTGTGCTTGACAATTTCCAGGCTAGATGTAGGTTGGAATCAATCAAAAGAGTTTAAGAATCTTGTATAATTCTTTAATTTCCGTTTCTTTTGTTTTAGCAATATTTAAGCGATATTGACTTGCACAAGATTTGTTTAGCATCACACTCACTGTGACACAGTGGTGGTGGCTAAGTGGGTAAGAGGCAGGCTCGCGAGAATGGAGGTCTGGTGTTCAATGGCCGAGAGAAAGTTCATCAGGAATTTTCAACGTAGTTTCCCCTTTTCAGTGGTGCAGAGCAGAGGGTCTGACAAAAACAACTGTCTAGTCATTCAGATGGTATGAAAAACCATGCACGTAAAAGTTCACTTGGCAGTTGGAATTCAATATAAAAGAGGGCCATAGTGCCGCTGCCCAGACAAAATTTCCCTCATAGCACACTGTATGGCGTAAACCCGTCTTCATTTCGTGACACAATGTATACATCGAAATGTCGCTCATTAAAAACCAGTAAATCCATTTTATCTTCATTTTCAGCGTAGGATCTCTGGGTCCCTAGGTTTCTTCCCACAGCTAAAAGACCACTATGTAAGACCCCTACGCTCAAGTGTATGCATTTTTTTAAAACAAAAACAAAAAAACTTAACATACTGTACTGACCAATCAAATTACATGAAGCACTGCTAATCATGTACGACCAGAAACGTCCCATTACGAGACAATTAAAATTGTTTTGAATTTTCCTTTTGTTTTATTAACGTTTTGTCTTGATTACCCTGCAGGATTGATTTACTTTAGTAAGTTTACAGTATTTTGTTTTTCGGACATTTGACCGAGATGACTGTTCAATTGATCAACCTACAGTACAATCCTTTTTTTTATGTGGTTAAATACTCAATAAAGAGATGAAATTTATGAATGAAATTTATGAATGAGGTCTATTGGTCACACCATCTCAACCTGTCATTAAGAAAATCTATTTGAAAGAGGGCAGCCATGACAGAAAAACATCACCACTTATCGACATTCTATACATTTAAATATATGTTTTTGAGACTACTAATTTAAGATCCTTGACAAATAGACCAATGACCTTTGAATAGGTGATCAGAACTTGGCAATAAAAACAACATCAATGGGTCAGAAATTTATGGTATGTAGCATCATCGTTGATATTCATAAAATAATTTTGAAGTGGATACAAGATGAGGG